AAAATATCTACCATGAAGTGGATTTGAACCCTCACGTGCAAAACAAACTATAAAGGGGCATAAGCCTTATCCATCTTAGCTATCCGAAGGACGAGAGATATCTCTTTCGAAGTCACATATGTTCATGGATATCCTCCGGAGCTTGTCCTACAGTTTACAACAGTTAGGATGTGTAAAATTAATAAATTAATGGTTAAAGCTGTATTGAAAACCTAAAAAAATAGTTGAAGCTACATATTTTTTCAAAACATAAATGGATTTAGGAATGTTAAGAGTACGGGAGAGTTAAAAAATAATACATTGAAATCAATAGTCTGTGTATATAATTAATGAGCATTTAGTTCCACGATTTAATTGAATAAGATTTAACTACATAGCATGCAGTACTCGGTTGCAGAGTCAAAAGACTCAAAAGAGAAAAACTCGTGTCGTCACTTGCTTTGGCTGTGCGCTCTGCAGCTATGAGGCTCTTTTACAGTCAAGCTCTTAGAGAATTCTCTAAGGTCAAGCTTGAATCAGATGGCGCCAGGGCACGTCGCGGCTGTCATGGCCGTCTCACTCACACAACATTACTTTTCAGCATTGTATGTATACAGGAAATTAAAGTGTAGTGGTAAAAATAGTAAAAATTGTAAATTTTTTAACGATATGTTTCTCGGAATTTTCTTAGTTACTTAAGTAGCTCTGTTTTCCTGTATTCTAAAAGGTAAATTTTATTATTTGTTTAAACTTGTAAGGCTGCTTTATGGCCCGTTGGGTTATTGGGTTAAATAGCTTGGGATTAGTTTTTTTAGTTATTGTTTATGAAATTGTGTCGAGTTATCTGGGGATTTGCGTCTTGCTCCATATAGCTAATTTGAATTTCCTGCTAGTTTGCCAGTCACATGTGGGAGAACCACTGGCTTCCTTTTTCCTTCTATTTAGCTTTTTCATTTATCTTACTAGAATCTGTAGCTATATATAGGTCCTAGTGACAAAAATGCAAAATTATATTCTCCTTCCCGAACACTGACTGTGTTATAAAACAGAAGCTTTAGTAGTGCGTTTTACGAACTACAGTTATATAGAGGTCTTTATACTACCGTAGCAGGCTCTCGATACTATTGCTGCGTTCCACGGTTGCTACTGTAGTATGTAACGCACTATATACTCCGGTAGTATATAGATCCGCATTCTACCATAGCATCAGAGCTCTTTTCGTGAAGTAATCTCTCTACTTATCTCTGGCGATAGAGCCTCGATATCTTAATTAATCGCGGAGGTGTCGCATCGGCTTTGCATATCCCTTGTCCCTTGCTCTGGACAGTGCTGCCACTCTCGTCAGGATACTACACTGACCATGCATGCACGCCACGCAACAGCTTCTCTTTTCTCTCTCACACACATGCTTTTTATGTGACTAGCGTATACATAACAGTAGTATTGTAAATGAAATGTATTGCAATTACAATTATAAAANCAAACGGTTTAGAACATATATACATACGTACAGCTGCTTGTGATTGGCACTTGGCAAGCTAGAGAGAGAACGACGATCCTCTCCTGCTGTCTTATTCAGTCATGCCCCTACCGTGGTTCTCAAATAAATAAAAAAATGTGCGCCTGGTTCGGCCGCTTGGCCGCGGCGGGGCGCTCGAACCACTGGAAAAAAGTGGGCACACTCCGTAGCATGGCAGAGATTGGCAGAGGCAGAGCAGAGGTTGGCAGTCAGCATTGTCAGCAATATCCCTACTAATCTCTGCTGCAAGGTACTGCACTTGTGAATCCGTAACCTTAAAAATTTTGTGACAGTAAAGAACTGATTAGGAGCAGAAAAAAAAAAATCTGAGGATGGTACTGGAAAGTAGTGTTGACGAGCTGATGACTTATTTTAAGACGCATAATAAAGTGCGTGAGCAGCAGAGCCACACAGCCAAGGTACACAGTGTTGGCTGGAATTGTGATGGCAAATTCCTCGCCTCTGGCTCTTTCGACAAGTGCGTCTGCATATTTTCACTCTCGCCCGATCGCTTGGTAAGAATATTTACTGATTCTTTTGCTATTAAGTACGTGTTTTAACTGAAAAGCACTTGTCAACTTTTTCTGTCTTAATTGTTTAATAATTTTTAATTATTGTTTTAGGTGCTCAGCACCAGTATTTCGATGCCTTATAATTAGAATCAACCATTCCTAATAACATATATTTAATTGTAGAAACTAGAAACTACATTCAGAGGCCATGGAGGCAGTGTGGACCAATTGTGCTGGCATGCATCAAATCCAGAGCTCTTGTCCACCGCCAGTGGAGACAAGACAGTACGAATATGGGACACGAGAACTCAAAAGTGTACAGCAAATATCAGTACTAAGGGAGAAAATATCAATATTTCCTGGTCACCAGATGGTAACACCATTGCAGTTGGTAACAAAGAAGACTTGGTTACATTTATTGATGCCCGTACAATGAAAATTAAAATTGAAGAGCAGTTTAACTTTGAAGTAAACGAAATATCTTGGAACAAAGACTCTGATACTTTTTATCTGACCAATGGACAAGGCTGTGTGCATATACTAAACTACCCTAGCCTTGAACTTTTACACGTGATTAAGGCTCATCCAGGCACCTGTATTTGTATTGAGTTTGATCCAACTGGGAAATACTTTGCAACTGGTTCAGCTGATGCACTTGTTTCGTTGTGGGATGCCGATGAGTTATGTTGTTTAAGGACATTTTCTAGATTAGATTGGCCTGTTAGAACAATATCATTCTCCCATGATGGAAAATTATTGGCAGCTGCTTCAGAAGACCTTATCATTGACATTGGGGAAGTTGAAACTGGTGAGAAAGTTACTGATATACCAGTTGAAGCTGCAACTTTTACCGTAGCTTGGCATCCAAAACAATATTTTCTTGCTTATGCATGTGATGATAAAGACAATTATGATAGAAAAAGAGATGCTGGAAGCTTAAAAGTCTTTGGATTCCCGAGTGAAAATTAATTAATTAGTATTGTACTATATTTAAATAAACTAATCTTTTTGTAAAAAATAATCTGTTTTATTTCTAGAGATTAACGATCAACAAAATGTTTACATTTTAACAGTGCAGAAGCATTAGTTGGACTTCTTTTGAATTACATCAGTAGAGCATACTTGTTTCAATGTATTAAAATGTTTAGGCCTTGTTTAAAAATATGAGCAAGTTATTTAGGTGATTATTGTAAAATCATGTTTGAAGTGTATCAATAAGATAACTAAAAATACTTTAAATGGACTTCTTGGTAAAAAAATTACATTTTATACTGTTACTTCATGTAAGTTTTACTGCACTGCGTATGCTAGCCATTTCTTTGGAAAAATTTAAGAAATTATTTTTTTTAAGATGTTAATAAGTACTTTTTATTAATACATAAAAATTTAAGTTTCAAAATTGGGATGGCAGTAAAAATTGAAAGTATTTATATTGTTAATATGAGTTTCTAATTAATTATACCCTATAATTCATTGTATGGTCGCGTGTATAGCTGTATAATTACATCTTTATACAGAATAGGTATAAAAATTTATTTACATCAGAGAATTGAGAATATATACTAATAGGTGTATTTTTATTATTTTGAACTGCGTTACCATGGATACCTAACCTTGTTAAATATAGGTCGAAAGTTAACACATTTTTTCTACCCAATAGTTCGTGACTTTATTTAACTCTTTTTTTTTAATGGCTTTTATTCAACGTAAAGGAACAGCTTTGCAGTTTGAAATTGAATTTGCATCTGGTGATCATGTAAAAAATGACGTCGAAAAAAATATTGGGAACGTCACAAAAACATCTGTGGAAAGAAACGTTGCTAATAACGAGTATGGAGCGGAACTGGATTTGAATCTAGAATTTAGTTCTGATATTTCTGAAGATGAATCTGCATACGAAGAGTCACAGAGTTTTGAAATTCTTAAATTTAATGATAAGAAATCGGAATTAACAGCAGTATCTTTAAATAAATTTCCCTCAAAGGGCATTCCAACATTCCAACTTCCAACTTCCACATTTATTGCTAGACATGATATTAATTTAGGCAAAAAAGAGGTTCCACCTTCTAAAGTACGTAAAAGTACATCTGTTAATCTAGAAGACAGATTAAGATGCCTGAGTCTTAATGAAGTAGATCCCGTAAATAAAGAACCACCAGGATTGAGAGGAAAAAATATGAGCTTTACCAATGATCAAATGATGCAAATTGAGCGTGATAATGTAATATTATTAAGAAAAATTATGGTCCAACAGAAGCCATTGAGAATAAGGCAAACATCTGGACGATCAAAAATGAGTAACTCTGCAATCAATAGACAAAGATTTCAAAGAAAAATAGAAGGAGATAACTTGGTAAGTTTTTTACGTCCTACATAACGTGTGACCTAGTATTTTCAATAACGTTTCAAGTATAAATTTCAATTTTCAGTTTTTACTTCGAAGATTGCAACAGGCAAAACCTTGTATCGCTAATACACATAAGATATCAGGCTGTAGAAGAACAATTTTTGAAAACTTTTGATTACCGCAAATACAAGGTCGTTTTTTATATTTTTGTTGATAAATTGCATACATATCTATTTCTTTATTCAACAATCCACGTTAACATTTGTTAATTAAACTCTAATGGATTTCATTTTTTTTCAGTGATTTGCACTCTAAAAAAATTTGTTTTACAAAGTAAAGTTAAATCATATCATTTATTCATGAAATTCACTGTACTTACAAAATATTACTCCCAAATAATTATTTTAATTTTTGAAGGGAATTACGTTTATAAAAGAGTAATACCAACACATGAATTATTAAAACCATTTTTATGTGCTTCAAATAAATGTGAAAAGTAAAATTCAGGTTTAAAACCTTAAATCATTGTACCAATTTTTGCTATCCGGAATTTTTTACTTAAAAATGCAAAGTGGAATTTATTTCCATTTTTTGTTTTTTTTGTTTTTGTAATCACTAAAAAAAAAGATTTCACACCACAATGATTTGGTGTATTATTCTATAAGATTGTTTTTGAGAACCTTTACAAAAAAAATTGTCGATTCAGTAGAAACTCTTTCACAATATATCAATGAATATCACTGATATGGTCGTCATTTTTCTTTGTGGTCCAAATATCCGTTGAAGATGGTGTCCAAATGGTACTTAGAGATCGAAACGGATCAAAACCAGAACTTTCCTACAACAAATTTTAAATATATTATTGGATTTAAATAGTGTGCTTGCAGTAATAGAAAAAAAATACATAAAAACCACTTCTTCAACTTACTTGAACACTTGTTTCATTTGTTTGCGACAAAGAGGAGGTTTGAAGATTCGATATCGGTGGTGGGGCACCCCAAGGTGCGGCAGCCCACACACCTCCTGTGTTTATTCCCCAAACGCCACTTCTCTCTTCTCCGACAGCTCCTCGATTGTACAAAGGTTCCCAGTTTGTTTCTATTGCAACCCAATTATCTGCAATAAATGAATATATTACTATTATGTCAAAAAAAACCGATCAAAAACTTAAAACACAAAATTTAAACCTTTAAACGTGTCGGATGAATCTGAAACTTTTTCAATGGGTTTGCGCGAATCAACAGGAAAAATTGAATTGTCAGTGATTGAACTGAGAATAGAACTGTTGCTCTGCCAAAATTTATTATGCGAATTTTCATCTTTGTTTTCCAATTCTATCAGTGGCTCTTCAGTATGAGGAAGATCATCATACGGTATTAAATCAGGTTCGCACTAAAATACAGAGAAATTTGGACATGGATTATCCCAGTAAAATGTAAAAAAAAAAAAAACTCACTGTTGAATCGCTTAACGAATGAACGAAGTAACTATTCAATCGACCATGAAACTTTGTTTCTGAGACCACCAAGTCACTGCACAGCTCGTCCTTATTAGAATTACTATTTGCATCAATTTTGAACTCATTGTAGCTGAGCTCCTGGGCCGGCTGGCGTTTGGAGCAATCTGCACCATCCAGAAAGTTCAAGATTCCAGGTACAGAATTTGTACAACTTTTGCTGGTCAGTTTGCACTGTGATTTGTTATTGTTGCTGTGATTGGCAAAGGGCGAGCTGTTCTCCTGGTTACGAGCGACCACGTCACTGAATTTGGCGCGGTTCTCGCCCCAGCATACCGCGGGTGGTGGCGGCAGTTGCGGCGTTGACGACGTTTGCAGCAACATTGACGGTAAAACTATCATGGGAGTGATTAACGCATGTTTCGTAGTCTCTTCTCGCGGAACTGTCGAGTTACTGGGGGCCATTATTGACGGTGCCGGTATCGTTGACGCTGCCGCTACTGACGTTGCTGTTGTTGTAGCTGTAAGGATGAAATGTAGCATTGAAAAGAGCACATTTTCTTGGAATATGCAATGCTTCTTGAGATATTAAGCAGTAATATTAAAAAATTCAAGTCAACTTCTCTTACATGCAAATTACAATACTTTGGTCACAAAAATAAGTACACTCATATATGTTCAGCAATTTAAGTCACTGAGTCGCAAAACATTGCAACACTCATTTTTACAGTAAAAAAGAAAAGTTTTGAGGATGGATTTTTGCAGAATAATGGCACGTTTGGTAGTAAAATTTATATCAAGACGTTGCAAAAAAAAAAAAAAAAAAAAAAAAAAAAAAAAAAAAAAAAAAAAAAAAAAAAAAAAA